AGTGCATAGAAGAAAATCTCAAACACTTTTATAAAGGAATACGTTAAAAAACCATTTTCGTCCGCTGTGGCAAGCGGTCCTCACCTCGTCTTCTGCCCCTTTGTGCCATATGCAATTCTTACCGAACTTGAAAATACGGCGCATCCAACGAACTTTAGGGGAAGCATACGAACAGACAAAATATGGGCGAATAAAATCCAGGCAGAATGCGGAAAGACTGCTAAATCACTCAGTTCGCTGTTACTTGGTAACTAAAATCAGGACATCCGATAATCGTCAACAGAATGAAAGAGATGCAACGTGGTCCCCACAACAAACAGGCAACGGTGATCTTTGTAAGTGCCAAAATACAAGCTTAAATTTTCATTCGTCCAGTTCTACACCAGAATCAATGTTACTGCTCGTGAAAATTTGATCGAAAATAGATAAGATGCAAAAGAAGGTTCGGCAACAAACAAGGTCCAAAGTCCGCCAAAAAAACCCCTCTTTAATAATTAGTTGCAGGAACATGTACAGGCCTAAAACCCTTCCAATGATTGCTTTACGTCAAAAACAAAAAAATTTTCGAACCCGCATGCAAAAACATGCAGTACAGCATCAAGATCGGTTTTCAGAAAACATATCTTGCTTCACTTCATGTCCCTGCAAGCTTTTTTTTCTGTGCCTGCCATCTTTAATCAGTAAGTCTAACAAAAATTAGGACTACTGTAGAAGAAATCCAACGATCAGATCGCAGGTGATGCTGTAATTATCACGAAAAATTCTCGAACACTTCTAGGTTTGTTAAATGTGCTTGATACTAACGTGAGATTGAACTCCAAGTTCATGCAAGAGAAATGAATTACGCTGAGTAAGCGGAAGGGGAAAAACAAAACAGATATTCTTCATCCAGTCCCAAAAGCATCAGATGTGAACACGACATTCCCAACTTAACGGTCTTACCACGTCTGTTATGTGGGAATTAAACATGGGATAAATGCCTGCTGAAGGCGAAAACTTGGCAGTGAGCATGGGTCAATAAGTAGCAGGACTACCTCCAGTGAAGAATAGTCGCATAGGTCTACCGCAAAAAAACGCTGGTTTGGTCGCATAGCAAGAATATAGTGCAACAGATGGAAAATTTGACCATCTATTGCATCATGTTCTGTTCATCTGCTGAACTATTACAACACGCAATAAAACCTGAATACTGACCGGGACTAGAGACTAAGGAAATGTAAAAAGATGCACATATGGAATTACACAGTTGCAAGGAGCACCGAAAAGAGCAAGATCGAGGAGCTGCCCGCTACATCGACGAAAAAAAAAAGCACAACACAAGTCAAATTCATTCAAAGTTATTTTGATGTTATCAAAGTAAATAAGTGATTTTACACTCATCCAATCTTTCAAACGTGGCAAGTTTTTAAGCAAAATGAATCTCTCAGCGAAATTTTTAATATTTGACGCATATCTCCAATAAATCGTACCTGTCGGCATATATCGCAGCATGCATTCTCATCGTATTCGGCATTCGTACATGCAGCCGACGAATCAAGTGGTGCCAACAGGTCATGATGAATCGCCTGAAACATTTACAGACTTTTTGTCGGAATCACTTGATGCATTCTGTGAAAAAGGCTAGAAATGAACTTTTCGCAAATGTCCTATTGTAGCAAACTGAGCTCAGCGCCTCGGTAACACGTGCGCACTTTACGTATTTACTAATTGTTCGCAGGTCCCATCAGAGTAACTATGACATTAGCGATCATCGACACTCCGTGTCTCACGCTTTACTGTTTCATCATCTGGAACTCTTACAAACGCTCGTTTAAAATGAAGCCCCGTACTGTACAGTTTTGACAAAACCAATTGATTTAATTAGAGAGTTTCGACGTCTGATAAATTAAAGAAAAGTGTTCCCTAGTTTTAAACGACGGTTAAATAAAATTAAAATGTGTGGGAATGACCGGAAAAACGCAAAAACAATTACTCGAAAAAGAAAAAAAGAAACAAGAAAAATGCTCTAAAATGCAGGAAAACCGGGAAGGTAAACCAACAAAAAGCACAGTCTTAGATTCCGAAGAGTCAGCGTTTTAATAATTAGGGCAAATCTGCACAGCCTATAAAGGACAGAATTTTAAGTGACACAGGAAAATTTGTGAAACTGTCCATGTGATAAGCCGGGAAATACCAAACCGAGAACAACTCAGTGCAATTATGCAGGTTAAAAGTATCGTGATGCAGGTTTAAAGCATCGCTTCGCCTGTGCAATGTCAGTTAATAAACAGAAGCGTTTCATGGGCTCAGTAAGCCGTAGTCAATGAAGCCATTCGAAGAAACCCGCAAGAAATGGAAAATATTCTTTTTTACAATAGTACTGAGACAAAAATAAGCTAAGAGCTGCGAGACAAGCCATAAAAGTGAACAAAGCAAAAACCTGGTAGCATGTAATTTCCAGCTGATCCAGAACTGCCCCGAAAGTGGTCTCGCTGATTATTGGCAAATTAGCTTCAACACGCTTCTTATTCAATTTATGCAAAAAGATGCGATCTGCTTTGTCCGCTTGGTAGTGCCGCAGTTTGGGCATTACAACATGCCTGTGATTTTTACGAACATATCGGCGACTATGGGTTGAGATA